GTCCCCTCAAATTGTCCTTCTTTTACACTGACCATAATGATTATTGTTCATAAGTATTCCTGAAATCTGATTTTGTTTCTCTTTATCACATCCTATATTTTTGTCTCTAATCCCCCCATACACACAATCTTTTATTAAATTCATGGCATTTCCTTTGTCCTTCTTCTAGCTGTTAGAGAGTCGCAGAGAAACTCCCATTATTTTTTCAGTCGGTAGCCTTAACATTCCAACACAACACACTGAACTCCCACGACATCGATTATGTTACTTGAACTCCATGTCTGTTTTGCCCCACCCCCTGATCTTCCTCTCTGAGGACCCTCGTCCAAGGTCAGCTCCACACCGACCCATAGGACCGCAAGGCTGGGAGTCAGGGAGACGAGCTTGTAGATTTGGATCCCCTGTGGAGTCGGTCTGAGCTCTCCCTAGGGTGGACAGTGTCCCGCCATCCCCAGGGCGTCCACTGCCCCAGGAATGAACTCTGAGAGGTGGCCTGGTGCTGCCTGGGGTCCCTGGAACCCCCTCCGAGACTCAGCCTCTCTCTCCGGCCCTGGGTGCCCAGAAGCTGGCCCCTAACTCCACCTCCCCCAACACTCATTGGCCAAGGCCCGCTCTCAGACCCCAGCTGCGAGCAGATGTGTCTGTACTGACTCATGCCCACACACAAAGGCGCACAGCCCCGCACGCTCTCCTGTACACACACACGGCAGCACGTGCTACACCGAGAGCCCGTGGCTGCTGCTGGAGCATAAACAGGAGAGAGGCTCCTCCCAGACTCACTGCACTGTCACCCCCAAGCCTCATTTTCCCTCTGGATTAGCCACAGATATGCATTGCCTGGGTCTTGCTGGTGCCTTCAGGATCCACCACAGCCTTGGAGAGAGCTGAGGCCCTGCGGCCCGGGCATCTGTGTGCGGTCTTTGCTCAGGGCTCCCTGTCAGCTGGGCAGCTGGGCAGAGGCTCCGTCAGAGCTGCACCGGGTCTGAGGTTCTCCCTGCCTAACCCTGCTCCCTCCTCCTTCGCCGTCCACAGGGTTCCCCGGACATGCAGTCAACCTCCACAGTCCTAACTCCATCGTAGCATCTGCTCACAGGGGCAGGGGGGTGGGGGCCCTGAACCGACACACCTCCCCCACCCCACCCTCGGAGCGCTAAGCCCTGGCCTCAGGACCCAGGGAGGGCGTAGACCAGTTCGGAACCGGTCCTCGGCTCCCTCTCCCCTCCGTCAAGTCAGGACAGTTCTCCCTCCATCGCTTGCACGCCCACGAACTCTGTTTTCTCCCCAGGTGCACCACCAGAAGATGCCCACCCCCTCTGCCAGATCACCCGGCCCCAGTGCCCTGCTCCGGCAGTGCCAGAGTCCCCTGGGGGATCAGCCCGTGACTGAGTCACCGTGACATCTCCGCTGCCCACCACGGGCCGGGCAGGGTAGGTGAAGGCACGCGAGGAACGAAGGAATGCTGCGAGCCGGTACAGAGCGAGGAAGGGCACTTTCCTTCTTTAAACACCTGCCTTCCGCCAGACCTTGGAATCAAGCTCGGAGTTCCGATGTGGCTCCTCACGGGAAGAACTGGCCCCCGAGAAGGGGGCAGCCTGGGGAAGTGGTGAGCAGTTCATCTCCCTGGAGCTGCCAGCCGCACTCGATGGGTGAAGACCTGAAGGTGTGGGTCCCTTCACCGCAGAGGCCCGGGGAGGCCAAAGTCTGTCTGCACACACACAGCCACGTGGTGGCTCTGGAAGGGGTGACTCCGCACGCAGGCCCCGGCCGTGCAGGCCAAGACCTGCACAGTGGCCCCCAGCTGCCCACGCCACGCCATGCCACGCCACGGCAGAACCCGGCCCCCACCACCGAGCGCCCGAGCGGGGAGCCGGGAGCAGGGAGCGATGACTCAGAGGTGCGCGGAGGACTGGGGGCGGCGAGGGCGGCCCCCACTGCGGGGGTGCGGCAGGCAGCCAGGCGGCCAGACAGGCCCCCAGTGAGTAACTACAGATCCGTTCCCGCCTTGCCTGCCGTGCCTGTCCCCGGCATGGGGGATGGCAAGTGACTCTGCCTCTCTCTCTCTTTCCCTCCACCTCTGTGCCCCGGTGGTTCTGGAGCCTGACTCCGGAAGGAGGGTGGGGGTTGGGCCAGAGACTGAAGAAACGTTCCAGGGACCCAGCAGGAGAGACCCCAGAACAGAATACTGGTGGGAGGAATCCGTGCAAGAGGACACGGGGAAGAGAGAGCAGGGGGTGGCTGTGGCCCCCTCTGCAAGCCAGGGGGACAGGGTGGGGGCATGTGGAACAGAGGTCCCAGCGCTGGGTGGGTAGCCTGCCTCCCCACCTCCTGGTTCCGATATCCCTCCACCACCCAGCAGCCTTCCAGCTCATCCGGCAGGTGAAAGACGGCTTGTCCTCTTCAGATCCCTCGGGGCTCCTCGGGGTGGGCCATGGCTGACCCGCCCCGGTGCCTCAGAACCCAGCACTGGGCATTCAGCAACAACTGGTTGAAATATGGTCCCTTTTAGCCTCAGTTTTGTTTGCTTCTGCTGTTTTCTTTTTTCTCTAGCTTCTGAATTGTTTTGTGCTTTTTGATAGGTACAAAAGGGTAGGTCCCCCGGGGAGAACAATTCTGACAGAACAGAGAAGTGATTTTCATCGCAAAGGATCTGCAAGGAAACTATTCTCCCCCCACCCTTTTACCACTTCCTTCCGGGGAGCCCCGGGGGCTGCAGGAGAGTCCAGAGGCCCTGCCAGTCCCTCCCGCTGCTGCCTGCAGCCTGCCCCAGCAGCCCTGAGCTGAGAGGGGTTCCTTGTGGACCACCCTCCAGAAGAGGGGAGAAGCAGCCCATCCCCCACCGGAACACTTAAGAATTCCCACCCCTCCCCAGAAGGTCATGTGCCGGATGGGGATCTGGCGCCTTGCTATCCCCCCAGTCCTCACCCCTCACCACCCAAGCACCCACAATCCCCGTCCTCAGAGCGTGCAGAACCTCAGCCCAGGGGGCACAAGCACGGACCGCTGGGTTTCCACCTTCTGCAGCTGGCTAGGTTGTGTGCGTGTAGCGGGAGGGTGGGCAGGGTTTGCGAGCGCCCAAGCCCCTGGATTCCTCACTCATCTGGGACTCCGAGGACCCTGTGCCAGCAGAGACACCTCCCCAGACTGAGGACACGATGCCACTGTCCCGCTGGAGAACAGAGGCCTGGGAAGAGGTGCTGTTCGGGACACATGGGGAAGCAAAGACCCCTGGCTTCCCAGCCTAACTAACCTGGCCCCCAGGAGTGGGGATGGCTGAGCACGTGGCTGGAGGTTTTTCAAACACTTCCTCCAGGGAGGGGTTGGGTCAAACCTCAGAATGGGCAGTGTGAAGGCACCTCCCAGTTTTCCCCTATCTGGGGAAGGGCCTAAGCCAGGCTCCCTGATTCCATCTGGAAGGAGGTGGAAACTGGTGGGGGGGGGGGGCGGGTACCATAGCTCCCCAGGTCTTCCTCCAACAAGAGGTGCCCCCATCTTACCCACCTTCGTGCCCCGGTGCACAGCAGAGTCTGCGCAAAGAAGAAAGGAGGGAGGGAGGGTCGGAAGGAGGCAGGGAAAGGGGGGAGAGCAGAAAGCCCAAAATCGAGAAGGGCTGGGCCCTCATTCCTCCCCAGCTTTTCCCTGACTCCCTAACTCCATCCTGCCCTGGAAGGTCAGTGGCCGGAGTTTCCCGAGCGACGGGGAGCGAAGCCTGGGTGGGTCCGCAGGGAACTCCCACACACATGCTGGTCAGCCAGTGCCTGGAACTGAACCGCCTTCAAACAGCCGCGTATCCCTCTAAGCGCCCGGGCTGGGCGGCCCTCTCCGCCTGTCCACTAACCCCGCCCTGCATGTGTCTATCATATTTACAATACACCTGTTCCCCCCCCACCCCCCGCTACCCCCGTCGCCATCTCCAGTCTCAACTGCACCGTCTGGAGCCCTCAAAAAGAAGGCAAAGCAGTCCCCTGCGCTTGGTCCACAAGATGCGCTCTAGACACGAATAATCTGAGCTCTGAGGCCGCGCGGTGGAGGCAGGGCCCCGTGTCACCCAGCGGCCGCCCCGCCGCCAAGTCTTGGAAACGAGGCACCAGAGGCAAGAGGCCCGGGTCCGCACCTTTCTCTGGACCTCAGTTTCCCGGGCTGTGAAATAGGTCAGGCAGCAGCAGGGGAACGTCTCTGGTTTTAGATCGGTCGCGCAGAGTTGGGGCCAGCGCGCCGGGAGCCGACCTTCCCTCCCCACGTGGAGGCGCTGGAACTTAGGCCCAGTCTCGCTCAGGAGGTGGCCCCGCCGAAATGCGCGAGGGCGCGGACGCACTGTCTCCGCTGGAGCGGGGCAGCCGGTGCCGAGTGCGCCCTTCCAGGACGCCCTGAGCCCCGGGAGGCACAGAGGAACCCAGACTCGGGCCTCACTCGGCCCTTGCTTGCCCTCGCGGGGCCTGTCCGGCGCGAGCGATGAGTTGGGATGATTGAAAATGGAGCAAACAACGCGCCCACTTACTCCGAGTCCCTTGCAGCCCAGGACCCTACATGCAGGCCCAGCAGCCGGCAACCTGGGGGATAAGAGTCCTGTCCTGTATCGTGGTCCAGCCCGCCCGCACCAGCCCTCCGAGGCGCACAAGTGGGAAATGGGGAAACTGGCTCCAAGAGGTGGCAGTGAAGGTGGACAGGCAGAGCGCCCTGGGGCGGGGCTGGCGGGCGCGGGGTGGGGGCGGCGAACCGGAGGGGATGTGGCAGCCAGGCGCTTGGAAACCCCGTGAGCCAAACGGAGATGAGCGAGGACTCTTAGGGTCCCGAGACTCCCGGGATGCAGTCGCGGAGGCGAAGGCCTGTCAATGCCCGGAGAGTCGGGACTGACGTATGGGTTAGGCGGAGGGAACCCAGGGACTCCCGACTCGCCGGGTGCCCCCAGCCCCGCCCACACCTGCGCTGAGGTCCCGCCTCTGCCGGTCCATTGGCTGGACCCGCCGCCCTTCAGACGAGCCCCCGGGTCCCGCCCCCAGCCCCGTTCGGCGTCTCTTATTGCTTGGGCCACCGCGGCAGCTCCTTCTGCCAAGCTTCCAGCCGTCGGCCGCGCGGCGCGCCGTCCGCCCGCGCAATACCGGCCTAGGGCCGCCCGGCACGGGCTCAGGGCGCGCCATGCGTCCGCCCAGCCACCTGCGGGTCCGCTGGCTCTACTTGCTGGTCGGCGCCCTCGCCTGCGCCCTCCGCCCCGCGGTGAGTGCCTGCCCGGCCACCGGGAATCCCGGCAACTAGGGGTGGAGCGGGGGCGGCGGGAGACCGGCTGTCTGTGCGCACGCCTGTGGGAGAGGAATAAGGGCTCGGAAGACCGGGTCTCGCCTCTCCGCTCCGCCTCGTACCGGATCTAGACCCGAGGGGAGGGGTCTCGGTCGCGCCTGGTCTCTCCCAGCACAGTCTGGAGTCCGCTCCACGCGGCGGTCTGGAACACCGGTGGCGGGGTGGGGGACGGTAGATGCCAGCGGGCTCCACTCTTGCCTTCCGTGTGGTGGCTGCGGCTGTGCGTGCGGCTGGGAGGTCAGTCGATGCAGGGTTAGGGACTGGGGTTGATTGAAATGGACGGTCTAGTAGACGGCGAGTGGGAGGCAGGCTGTGCGGGTCGGTCGTCGTTGTGGGCTGTGCCAGTTAAGAGGTGTTTGCGCGGCGTTGTGTTACGTGGAGGAGTGACGTCTCAGCGGCAGATCCAGCACTGGGGACTCTGAGGATGAGGTGGGTGACAAACAGGCCCTTCCTATGTCCTCTCTCTGAGCAGAGGTGAAAGGTAGGGAGCGAAAGGTGGAAGGTGGTGGGCAGTAAGGGGGTGGGGGGTGTTTATCAGGAAGGGCCAGCCACGTGCAGGGGGAAAGCTGACAAGGAGCAAATGGCCAACAAGCAGTGGCCTCCTCTTCCTCACCCTCCTGCAGGGTGTGTGTGTGCCCCTGGCCTGTGCCAGCATGCCCTGAGTGTGGGTGTGCCTGCACGTGTCTGGATAGCTGGCTCACCTGGTCTGCAAGGCAGATCCTGGTTGCAGCAGGAGACACATGGATCCCCTCCCTCTGAGATCAGGGAAGACCTCAAGACCCACTGAATCTACCCAGAAGTGAGGCCCAAAGACACTGGAGCCATCCCTGTCCCCTACCAGTCAGACCTGGCCCGAGGTCGATTTTCTCCCCACCCCTGCCCCAGGACTTGAGGAGTCGGGGGTGGCAGCTCGTGCAGAGCCTAACAGCCAGGTGGGTCCCAGGCCTGGCACCAGCTCCAGGTTGGCTGGTGGGAGGGTGGGGTGTGGCGGTCTAGTCTCTTCCACCTCCCTCACGGTCGTCTCCACCAGGGGAGGAATCTCTGCTTCCATCTGCTGACGTCTTGCACACCCTGAGGGTGGGGCGCTCATTGCCTGTCTTGGGAGCAGACCTTATGACCATGGACAGAACCTTCCCCTCCTTCCACTGCCCCACCTCCTGAGCACTCAAAGCCCCACCAAGTTCGGGACCTGAGGCCACAGGTCGGGCACCACGTACAGCCCCTCAGTATCACGGAGCCTCCAGCGTCACCAACAGCCCCCTGGCTCTCCCAACCCAAGTCTCCGACCGCTGCAATTCTCCTTGGACGGGACGGGCATCTTGGGGCCACCCCGGCACCCCGTTGCCCATCCCTAGAGGCTTCTCAGCCCAGGCGAAGAGTGCCGAGAAGGTCACATCTGCCCCCGTCTCTTGAGACAGTCCAAGTCTGGCTCCTCCAATGCCTATCCTGCCCTGTCTCTCCACGTGTTGTTCACTTTGTACACAACACCAGCTCCTCCTACAGGCAGCCTTCCCTGATTGCTCCAGCCCACTCAGCCCTCTCATCTCTGACCCCACTGTGCAGCCCTACTCACCTCCCAGCCTGGGCTCTTGTGATCGTCTCATGGGATCAAAGGCTTAGGTCTCTCCCCACCCATGTGCCCTACAGCCCAGTGCAGGGCTGGACCCACAGAGGAAGGAGAAGGCACTCAGCCAGGACTGGGTGAGGGCAGGCTGCAGAGGGGGGTCCCAGCTCCCTCTGCTTCTCCCCACTAGCCACTTGCTCCCACACTGAATGGACACTGGGCAATCCTGCTCCAGCTCCAGTCGGACCTGGGGGGGGGAGCTGACGTTATCAGAGCCATAAAATGGCAGCTGCAAAGTTCAGTTTGAAGGCCCAAGGCCTTATCACTCCTGTTTATGGTGCCCTGACCTCAGCCTGGAAAGGGGAAATCTCTGAACAGGGAAGCAAAAAAAGGGAAGAAAATCTCGTGTCTCAGAAGAGGAAATCCACCCCGAGGCCACTGGTCAGGACCTTCACTGCCCCCACCTGCCCTCCCCCCTCCCCCCCTGGACAGAAGGCACAGGGGCTCCTCACTGGTGGCAGAGCTGCTCTGGGCAATGCCCAGCCCAGTGGTGGGGGGAGGGGTGTCACAGAGGTGGGGCAGACCAGGCCTTGCCCTAGGAAGATTCTCAGGCTGATAGGGAAGAGCAGGGCCAGTGGCCCAGGAAGGAGAGCCTGGGTGGATGTGGGATACAGCCTCCCAGAGCTAGGTCTCCGAAAGGAGCAGTCAGGGAGGGCTCCCTGGAGGAGGCAGGACAATGCTTTGAAGAGTTCCGCAAAATGGGCCAAACTTCCACTTGAACTCATAAAACAGCATCCACTGGCAGGACCAGTGGGCCTGACCTCAGAAGGACGAGGGAGCCCCCAGGTTCTCCCGGAGGTGGCGTGGCCCTGGGGGTTGGGGGAGGCTTGGCCCTCTAACCCCTCTGTGAGGCAGGTGGCTGGCCACCAGTTCCTGAAGGCCTCACCACACCATGGGCATCCTGCCCCAGCCATCCGCTTCTCGGCTCTCCAGAGGCTGTCCACAGCTGCCCAGGCCCTCCCGGCCCCGCCATGGGCGTCAGGAAGCCCATCAGGCCTCCTTTTCAAGTGAAGTGACCGCCGCGGTGAGGCCTGCCCAGGGCTGGCGGGGTCTGTGCTGGAAGAGCCAGCTGCCGTTGGAGGGTTCCACCTTCCCACCTTCCCACCCCGGTGGCCCGGGTCTCAGCCTTCCCTGACGCGTCTGCAGCTTCCATGAGGAGCCTGAGCCGGGGGCCGGGAAACCTGGCCCTCACCCCACTCCGTGTCCATAGCCAGTGGGGCTTGAGAACTTGTGGAATCTCTGGAAGAGCCCCCAGTTCGCTCATCACAGAAGGGAGGGCGAGAACCCCTGGCCCAACATGCAGGAGAAATGGGGAGAGGGGCTGGGGCTGCAGGCCAGGCCCACCCCTGAGCGGGGCATGATCTTGCCGGTGAGCCTCCCCACTCTGCAACGGATGTGGTCTTTCAGGCAGGACTCCCGTGAGACCTGAAGGGGACGGAAGCGCTGAGTGAACCGGGTGACAGGTCCTTCCTCCCTCCCGATCCCCAGCGCGGGGAGCCCTGTGGATGTCTCTTCAGCCCTCTTTGCCACCACCTGCCCAGGGGTGCCCAGGGCGGGCTGGCACCCTAGAGACAGGAGCTGTACTCATGAGGTGGCCAGATAATTTTTTTGCAGGGGCGGGGGATGAGGCTTCAGGCCCAGAGGGGTGATGGGTCTTCTCAGAGCTGACTGGGTGACAGCGATGGGCTTCCCCACTCCGTGAGCAGCCTCCGCGGTAACTCGACCTGGGTGGGCGGAGCCTGCACCTGCCCCGCCCCTCACTGTGGCCCCTCTGGCTGCGGATGCAGGAGTGGGGCTGGGGGACTAGACAAAGCCCCATCCGTTTCTCCCTGTCCCTTTCTCAGCCTCCCAGGCTCCAGCCTCCCCAGTGTGACCTCCCAACACAAAGCAGCTGTCACTGCACCTGGGAAAATGTGCAGTATGTGGAAACCGTCACATACCTTAGGCACGCTTCCGGAAAAGAGAGTGGAACGCAGTCGGATCTCTCCGCCACGTTACGGGGTTTATTTGGGAAATTTCAGACATGCCCAAAAAAGTAGAAAAAAGTATAATGAATATGAAAATACCCATTCCTTTGGAGTGACATCAGAATACTGTCAGCATAGGAATTTCTGGCACCCCTCCCTCCCGATTCCTAGTTTTGACAGTTATTAGCCTTTAAAATTTAATAGCTGCATCATTTGCTTTTTTGGGTTGAAATATTTTGAGATGCATTATAGACATCGTGACCTTTTACTCCAAATCATTTTAAGATGAATCTCTAAAACCAAAGGGCATTTTCCTATAGAACTATGAGGCCATCATCACAACGAACAAAATTAACAGCGCTCCTGAATGCTCAGATCTCCCCAGGAGGCACCGAGTCACGCCTCACAGGAGGAGCGGTGACACTGTCAGGGGTTTGGGTCTCACTGCAAAGGGCTGCCCTACCTGTGTCCCGTTGGGGCTGCAGGGCGAGCTGCAGCTGCGGGTGCATGAGCCCCAAGCGGGGCTTCCCCCCCCGGCCCACTTTTCTCTGCACCCCCTCTCTTGTGGCTTGTGATGTGATTCCGTATCTCTCAGGAAGTGCCTCTTAATCTCTCAAAAACAAGTTGTCCTTGCACAGCGGGTCCTCAGAGGAGGGCAAGAGGTCGCCCACCAACCCCTGATTCTTGGGGACCCACAGCCTGGTGGCTCCCTGTTCTGGTACCCAGCCCTCGGCAGGTGTCCCCAGCGCCAACATGACCCGCGGACACCATGTTTGTAAGCTGAGTCCTCTTTCCCTAGGGCTGCCCAAGAGGACTTTCAAGGGGCAGAGGATTTCAAACTGAGGCCCCAGTGTCCCCTGCTTCTCTGGCCATCCCCACCATAATCGTCTGCAGAGAAACTCTGAGAGACTCCACGGCCCTGAGTAAAGCTTTCAGGGAAAGCCCTTCGATGGGACCAAGCTTAACCCCGAGCTGACCTCAGGCTTCGCTTGCCTTCTCTAGTAGCAGGAGCCCTTGTCTCCTGGTCCCGCTCTGCGTGTGGACAGGTCTTCTCGCCCCGGCCCCACGCTGGCATCTCTGTGTCTCCTCCTCTTCCTCACCACACCCCTCTGCACACTCACTAGTTCTCACTCCACTCTCCTACCAGCCAGGGCTCGGCCTTCCCCAGGGGCAGGTGTGGGCGGCAAAATATGGGTTTGCAGAGTGGGGAGGATTCGGACTATCGGCAAAAGGATGTAAGAATACAGGGCAGGGAAGGGAAATGATGTAAGAATACAGGGCAGGGAAGGGATGGGGGGCGGGGTAAGGGGAACTCCCAGACTGGAGAC